ACGAGACGACCACATGCGACGATTGATACAGCTCCGGTCGATTCTGTACTTCTTTGGGCACATGGTCAACATCGTGCCGACTCAATTTGGCAAAACGAGGTAAGTATTTTATTTCATTAAAGTTCATTAACTAGTTAAGTTAGATTAGAATTTTTTGAAATTAATATTAGTTTGATTAGATATATTTTACTAAATTAGATAGATTTTACTAGGTGAACTGAACTGAAATATTAGAATTACATGTGAAATTTTGTGAAATTAGTATTAGTTTTGATATATAATATTTTACTAAATTGGATAGTTCTGAAAATAGAATTACGCCATGAAATTGAATTAATATAAGTTTTGTGCATTATAGGCTGGTAATCGCGTTTACCAGACTCGAGGTACGACCCATTTGGTCACGTACCATCCACGTTATAAGCCGTATCTCCAGGATGACGATTTGTTTAGTGTTCAACAGTTGGTCTCTATGACTGGTTGTATTGATGCATCTTTGATCACTGCTCTCATAGAGTGTTGGCGTCCTGAGACATCAACCTTCCACATGCCGGTTGGTGAAGTTACGATTAATCTTGAGAACGTTGCCACACTGAGCGGTTTACCGATCAATGGTGAGGCCGTCATAGTAGACGTACCGGATCGGGAGTGGTCGGAGACCTGTATCAGACTGTTAGGACATGCTCCTAACGATCTTAACGGGGGTGTCATTAAGATTACTTGGCTCAGGGAGCATTTCAACAATCTGCCGCCAAATGCATCTTCAGTGATTACAGAGAAGTTTGCACGAGCGTATGCGCTATCTATGATGGGGGGTATGTTGTTCCCTGATCATACTGGAGCTACAGTTCATTTGCAGTATCTACTCCTGTTGGATATATAATTGGTGGAGTGCTGGAGGCTACGCTTGGGGAGCAGCTGTCTAGCCTACTTGTACCGTGAGATGGGTAGGTCGGTTCTGCATATGACGCAGTCGTCTTCCACAGGAGGTGACCTTGGTGGCTGGGTTGCCTTACTGCAGCTCTGGGCGTGGGAGCGATTCCCATTGATAGCACGACGACATTCAGTGACATATGAGCCTATTACAGAGGACGCATATCCACGTGGCTCGATGGCTTCCGGACATGACCCTCCAACATGGTGACCAGCTCTTCAGTTATAAGCTTTTTTTACGAGCTGTCGACAATCGTGGTTAGTAATAAAATTTCATACAAAAATAGTTCATAGTTCATAGTTCAGCCGCCAACCGATAGCTTTCATACACCGCCGCAGCATGTTATGATGGGTGGCGGATACACAACCTCACCCAGAGCAGCCTCGCCCTATAGATGGAGAGACACAATAGAGGGGGGCGCTACTTATACGAACGTGATGTGGCACCATGAGCAGCAGCTTCGGGGGCAGGGTTTACCATAGATGCACCAGACGAGCATCCCCAGTCTCAGATAGATGGTTTGTTCGATACACAAGATCAGGATGACGGAGATCATACTCAGCATGATGAGGGCAGGCTAGTACGGGACAGACATGCACCGTTGTGTGGTACTGGCGGTCATCTAGTGGATCCTCGTGGTGGTGGTCGTCGTGGTGGAGGTCATTAGTGCTACTATTATGTATGACTATATATTATTGTCAACTATTTATGGTGGACTATTTATCATGTCATGATGTATTAATTATTATTATTATTATGTATTATTTTGGACTATCCATTTTACTATTATTGTCATGTATGGTGCCAATGTCTATAACGAAAACTTGGACTATAGAAGTAACAACAACGGGGGAAATAGTTCGAAAGTTCCAAATTACATACCACAACGTCAACCAATAACACACTCAATCGTTCAAACCATACAACATCAACCAAATTACATACCACGTCGATTACCACTACTTCCTCTTCTACCACCTCTCGCACGTCTACCACTTTCTCTTCGCTGGCTCCCACTGCCACTTGCTCCTCCACCAGAAGTGGATGCATCATGTCCACCTACTTCCTCTCTTGGCCAGTCCATCTCGTTGTGAATTCTTGTTGTTCGTGGCTGCCCCGGCTTCCTAATCATGTGTATGTTGTGATGGAGAGTAGAGCCATTGTGCTTCTTCCGCCCCTTAGGTTCACCAAGAGGTGTGAAACTTGTCCCATAACAAGCCAATACAGTTTCCAGCTTATAGATGTCGTTTACAAACCTATACGGGTTAGCCCCCATTCGGTTGCAAGCTGCAATGGCATGAGAGCAAGGAATTTTATTTCCTTGGAATTGGCCACAAGTGCAAAATCCCGCTCGATTGTGGTCATCAAAATGCACTGTGAGTGTGTTCGAACCCGTCATGTTGAAATTGTTGGGAGGAGTCTGAACTATATAGATGCCTGACGTCGATCAACCCCCGTCACGGAATGTCCAACTGCCTTTTGTGTCCACGGCTTCATCAGATCTTCACATGGGTTTGTGTACTGTGACTTCCCACTTCTGATTTGTGCCTCGGTCTCCAACCTCATCTTATCGAATTTCTCCAATAATCGCCAATAAGTATGTTCCACAAGAGAAGCTATAGGAAGTGAACGAATACCTTTGAAAACACCATTGATGCTCTCTGCCATGTTGGTCGTTAGCATGGACCATTGACGCCCACCATTATAGTTATCATGTGCTAAGCTCCAACGAAGTTAATTTTGGTCCACCCAGTTATCACAAGAAATATTTCTTTCAGCGGCCATCTTCTTAAATGGCTCAACTTGACGATCAAACTTCTCCAAGCGTTTTTCTCGGGCTAACAAAATAAATAACCACACGAGTTAGATAAATTCATGATAATATTAAATTAAATTAAATAATACATCGAAAATCAATAACAATAACAATGAAGAGACTTACCGACTCGAATCAGTTGGTTATACATAATTTTGCTTTTTGTCTTCTTTTGCAAGTTGCTTGCATAGTGTTGCATGCACCATCCACTCCCAGCCTCTTCCAATGTTACTCATGGCTTCATAGGGTCCAACATGTCTATCTGAGATGATGCAGACATCGTTTCGATCGGTCAAATCTTGAACGTGTCTTATGAACCATGGCCAACTATTAGTATTCTCGCTCTCCACTATGGTAAATGCAATTGGAAAAATCTTCTTCCGACCATCAAATGAGCTCTCCATGAGTAGAACTCCTTTATACTTTCCAGTAAGAAATGTTCCATCAACAACCATGACTCCTGGACAATTCTTGAATCTATCTATACAAGGTCCATAAGCCCAGAATACTCGCTGGAAGATCAAATGACCTGGTTGCGATGAAGGAACTTTTACCCAATCAATCACTGATGTTGGCATTTTTCTCTTCACAACCCAATCATAAGATTCTTCCCAATTTCCATGCAACTTCTCCAATGCTCTTTGTTTCCCATACCAAGCCTTCTTATAAGTAACTTGCAAATTAAATTTATCTTTCAACTCAGCTTGCACAGTTAGAACACTAAGATTTGGTTGGGCACGTACCAAATGTTTCACGAACTCAGATATAATGTCGACATCAAGATGGCGATGATCTGTCGGTTGAGTTGTACTGCTACAAGAATGCACCAACTCGGTCTTTCTCACAGTCCATTCGCTTCCAACGTCTCGACATCCAAACCGCACCATCCAAGGACAATTGTCATCCTTATGCTTCAAGCATCTAACCTTCCAGATTGAAGGTGACGACTCCACCACGCCATACTGAAAGTTGTGTTGTAGTGCGTGATGTTTACCGCTACTTGTGCAGCTTGTTTCGAGTGAAATATCTGGCCCTTGTAGAATTCTCCTTCAAAACCAGTAGCAATAGACATTGGAATTACGCCATATGAATCAACATATGATAATTCATCATCCTCTTCATTAGCCTGCAAGTAAAAATATGGAGGATAATTAGGTTGCTCCTCTTCCGCATCTTCCTCCTCCTCCTCTTCGTCATCATAATCATTATCAGATGGCACACTCCATGTCTCATCTTCACCCTGATCAGCATGTCTAATATCAGCATGTATCTCATAATAGGCATCTCATAAAATCACAAACAATAGGCATCTCGGCACCCAAACAATTGTGCCATAAAATCGAAAAGCACATTCAAACCATCATCATCCACAATAGGCATCTCATAATGAAATAGAACACCATTCTGCCATTCTGGAAGACGGTAAGTGAAACCTGTGATCATATCACTATCTTGTATTGTTTCGTCTCTACGACGTATTCTCGGGATTATATTCTCACAAAATTGATGATATGTCACCCGACATGAAACTGTCAACTGAAACTTTCTACCACCAGCGAAATGGACGCCCAAATTGTCCTCTACTTTCTCCGATTTCCACCAAACAATTAGTTCAAATCTCCTAAAATCACTACATAACAAACAAATTCACTAATTACTAACTAAAGAAAATTATAATAGCATTTTAATAATATAATTACAAAAATAAATGTGTCTCTTACCTAGCCATCTTTGCAGCAACCAGCAGAGCTCCTCCCTCTCGTTTTCGTATAAGTTTTTGGTGTGGTGATACTGAAAGGAAGAGAATGGAGGAAGATATATATACTGGAGTGGGGTAAAAAAGACTGCGAATCCGCATGAGACTAATGCGGGTCCGCTGGTCAAAGTTCAGGGAATCTGTCAGCGCATTTTAGAAGGAACCCTGCGTCTCCGCACCCGTCCCACGCGAGTCCGCCCTTTTAACGTCAAAATACAAATTATGCGGGTCCGCATCAGTCTGACGCGGAAATGCATATCTTCCCCATAAAAACACAATAACTGTGTAAATATATTTAAAACCACCATATTGATGGTAAATTAAAAAAAAACACAATATTTTGGGAATTTACCCACAAAATTGCAATTCACCTTAATTTGAGTATAATTTGGTATATACTATATAGACGGGCTAAAGACTAGAGAGAGACAGAGTCAGAGTGAGAGACATAAATAAAATACGAAATAAAATTATAAAAACAAAGAGAAACAGAACTTTCCCTTCCTCATATATTTTTATCACCTCTCTCTCGCTCTCTGTGTCTCTCCTCTCCTCCAAACCCCTCAAAACCTACCCTTATCAATACCATCATAAAAAAAATATTCTTCCCTTTGGATTTCATTTCTACGATTTCAATTGGGAATTTTTTTTCTTCGAGGGAAACAAAGAAGCTCCCTAACAAGATCACAGATTCTGTACACTCGAATCGGCGACGACCTTACACCACCGCCTCCTTGCCCCTTCTTTGATCGATCGTTACAAATTGTGGGTTCGAGGAAAAGAACGATAAAAGGGGTAAAGGAGAGAGCTTTTTTTCTTGATCATTTCGTGGAAGGAGGAGGAGAAGGAAGAGGGGAGCTAAAGGGATAAAGGGAAAAAAAAGGCAGAGAGAGCTATGGATGCCGATTCGTGGAGCGCTCGTCTCTCTTCTGCTTCTAAGAGATATCAATCAGCTCTTCAATCGCGATCTGGTGAACCTTCGTGCCACCATTCTTTCCCCTTTCTAATTGTGTCCTTCTTGTTTCGATTGAGGATGATTTCTGTTTTGATGGAAGGAAAATCTGAGGGATAATGTGGATTGGGGGAGATTAGATTGTGTTTAGGTTTCTGAATTGTGAAGTTAAATGCCTGCATCTTTTGGGTCGTTTTGTGGGATTGGGATTGTTTGGTGAAATAGAAAATAAGTGATGGGAGTTTTTCGGGGGAGAAATTAGATTGCCACCCATTGACTGTTTGGATAGGCTCTGTGTACTTCTCTGTAGGATGTTTGAAGCTTTCGTCATTCAAATTTCTGAGATACTTGTGATTCTTTGTTTCATAAAACATTGGTCTTTTGTGGAGGTCAATGATTTGATTGTCTTTCTGTAGAAATGGAGACCCCGGCCATGGTTTATCCCTCTTGTTTTTGTGGTGCAATGTCTAACACTGGTTTGGCCTGCAGATATGTTTATGGGCTTTGAAGAAATCGACGTTGATGATGATATGAGAGAGGAGTTTCCGTGCCCTTTCTGTTCAGAGTACTTTGATATTGTTGGCTTGTGTTGTCACATCGATGATGAGCATCCTGTGGAAGCAAAGAACGGGGTATTGCTTTCTTTCCCCATCCGGTAGCAGTATATCTCCATTCCCTAATTCTTGGATATGGATCCTTATAAATGGTTCATGATGTTAAAATTCATGATGGCGATTTTCCTTTCACGAGGACATAAAATGGCACATCGAAAGTGCTTCATTTCAGTCTGTCCTTTTGTTTCTGCACTGTAGAACTTTCCTCCTTTATTTTGACTATTGCTTTTAATTTCTTTTAGTTGCCAACACCGAATGAGTCTATCTATGTCTCCGTTGTTGTATCCTCTCCCAATTGAGTTGCACGGGTATGGTGATTGCAGGGCTAATGAACTCTTTGCTGGTTAAATGTTGGTTAACACCTGGAATAGGCTTTAGTGTTGGCCAATGCCCCATGAGAGTTGTCGACCTCCTAGCCATTGACTGCTCGTGATAGGAGAGTAGCCTTGTGGACATATGACTTTCTACGAACTAGCAGCCCAGTAGGATGTTATGCCTTCTTTTTCATGCTCCTGTACATCAGTGGATGAGATCCATCCTACGATGCCTAAGTTCAGACTGATGGCTTTGTTGTTTTGCGTTCTAGATGTGGACTGCTTCTTGAAGGTTAAAGCTCACTAACTGATGATTTCTATGTTTGTACAGGTTTGTCCAGTATGTGCCATTAGGGTGGGTGTCGATATGGTCGCCCACATAACCTTACAGCATGGAAATATTTTCAAGATATCCTTTTCTCCTCGAGTTAGTGTCATTTTAGATACCCAAGTTTTGGACTCTAATAAATCTGCGCCTGTTGTAGCTAATATAATTCACATTAATTGATTTGACGGTATATTGTTTGATTGCCAAGAATAGTAAAAACTTCAAGTACGCATGATTGACCTAACTTCCAATCCTCTTGAAATCCTTGACGAAAGAGCTTACATGCAGCGCAAAAGGAAATCACGCAGAGGTGGACCTCATTCGAGCCTTTCTTTGTTGAGGAAAGAGCTGCGAGAGGGAAATCTACAGTCCCTTTTCGGTTCTTCTTGTATAGTTTCGTCGTCAAATGCTGCTCCTGATCCATTGTTGTCGTCTTTCATTCTACCCATGGGAGATGATTTCACGTCTCCACAGACGTCCTTTTCAACTGAAACGAGTTTCTCTAAGAAAGGCACGGAAGAGAGTATTGTAGAAAGGTTTGTTGTCTGATCACTGCTTGATTTATACATGAGATTCCAAGTCCATAACGTCAATATTCTTTCCATCCTTTTATTGACTCCTCTCCTAGAGATGAATGAAGTCCCCATGCTAGTAAGATCATAAAGCGATCTTAGGAAGGTCACCCTTAGGGGGTGGGCTGCCATTTGGTCCACACTTGACTGAATTGACAGTTTAATTGTTTTGATTCCATGGTTTTTCTTAAAATAAATGCTGACTGAATCGAGATTGAACCAGCCCTTTGTTTTCGATAAGGTCACATGTAACTTGGTCCAAACCGTACCAGAGTTTCATTGCATTAGACAAAGAACTAGTTATGAAAAGGTTCTGCATTTGCTTTTGTGAATGCACATACAGATTGCCATATTCGGTAATCCTCGAGGAGATATTGTTCAGTACACCGACATTGTCTTGAGAATCTTCACCTGGATTATAATTCGATCCCTGATATCCTTTTGTGTTTTTGGTACGCAGAAAAGCAAAGTCACCACCATTGTCGATCAAGGATAAGGAGGAGAAAGCGAAAAGGAGCAATTTCGCTCAGGGGCTCTTGTTGTCCACCATTTTTGGTGATGATGTTTCATAAGGACAAAGGGGGTGCAAAAAGGAAAACTCTGAACTGAGAGAGGCCATGCTAAAAATGCTCCTCCATGGAAGAAGAACTCTTTAATGGTTTGTTTGTAGTAGTCAAATATGGAAGTTGTATTATCAAGTGGTTGAGAGAATAAAGCTTAGTATTGTAAAAACTCTTTCTTAGTTGTTGAGACCTGAACAGACTTTTTCCTTTCAGGTTTATTGTTAAATTGGGGAAAACAAAAGGAAGAAAAAGGCCAAAAGAAGGAATACAAACTTCTTTTCTATATAGCTTTTCTAGTCTTTCGTTGCTTTCCTGAAGAGGTTCGAGTCATGACCAATTCAAGAACACACAAAACGCCGAAATTTTACAGGTGTGGCTTTAGAAATGGAAACTTAGCTGGATTCTCCCACCCATATTAAATTATTAATTATTAAAGATGACTGAAAGAGAAAAGTGTCGAAATGAAAAAGGGAGGAACTTGTTTTTTCTCGGGCTCCAAAGAGAACTGTTTGTTCTTATCGCTCCGGGTTTCGATCTATATGACCTCTGGGCGGTACAAAGTACACGCACCTCTTCCGTAGAAACAGGTAGTAACCTAACCTTTAAGAGTCTGTTCAAGGGGGGAGACTTCTTATCTATCATTGGAAAGATCTCCGCGCGTGGCGTAATAAGGAATCCTAGAAAAGATCGATTCAGATTCCCTCCCCGACCCCACGAGGATCTCAAGGGGGAAGAAAGATCTCCACTCATTTCATTCATTCAGTGCCTACTAGAGGCGCGAGCCACAACAAACAAAGGGGAAAGGCTTGCTGTAGCCCTATTTAGGTAGGCTCACAGCTTCGCTCAGCAGAAGAGCCTTACTTTTTACTATTATATTAGTAAAGCGCTCGCGGCCAACCTATGGGCTTTGTTTGAAGGGATAGGGGAAGGGAAGAAAACAAAGACGGTCACTCCTTTTAGGAACATGGCTCGTTCATTCACTTGCTCATGAACTCGCAGCTTCGCCAGGCCAGAAGCGGCGAAGGGGGGCTGGGGAAGGCCGACGACTACATGACATGAGGAAAGCTGTCTACGAAGCTTTGCCCCTTGCTTTACAAAGATTGTTATGAACTGACTAAATGACTAGATTTTCCCGGAACGTAAGCTAATAAATAGCTTTTTTCCCTTTCAATCAAATCAATATAAGCTTTTTGATTGATTAAGGGCGGGCATTGTGCTGCTAGCAGTTGATTTACATACTCAGACTAAACAAAGATTCTATGATAATTGTGCCACCTTTAGTAACACAAATATTGGTGAGAATCCAATGCCCGGAAAACCTAAGGGTTCCTCGGCCAGTGACAAATATCATGCGTGGAATGTAGGGTGGAAAGATTGGACCACAACCTTCCAAGTCAAACGGGTGCTACCCTTGGCTCAATTCGATTCGATCATTGTTTATATTCGGTATTACGGTTCGGATTATGCCATCTCACTTTAGCCTTGGAAGCTGAAAACCAACGAGAGATTATAGCAAAGAAGGCCAACTGAAAGCAACAAGAGGAGGCACCTGATGAATGTGAGGCGTAGAATAGACAGCAGAAACTAATCTGGCTCTCAACATCTAAAGAGAACAATTCTAAACAATGACTGATCTGTTTAAACAATGGGTGGTGGATCAAATAAGCATACAGAGCAAAGTGCCCCTATGCTCAAAAGTCTGTACCTTTTTTTCTGAATCTATGAACAGTTTTGACTCAAAAAATTATGTTCTTACCCTAAGCCCTATAAACCTAGACTAAGCCATTGTGGCAGCCTTGGCACCCTTGAATCCAATATTTTCACCACTACATCCCTCACAAATGATTCAAAACAAGGTGAGCAAAAACCTCTCATTATGCTACCTTGTCCAGCAAAGATTCTGTCGAGATGCGAGCAACCAGGTGGAGGAGGCAAGGGATGAACTTCATTCCTCTTGTGCTCAAGCCCGCAGTGTGCCAAGATTGTGTGTGTTGAAGCCCTCACAACTTGCTTGAAGTTCTCTTGCCCTGCATCACATAAAAAGGGCTTAAGGCCAAAGCTGCTTCCATATCCATGAAGAGGGCAACGTAAAATTTTTGTGACCATAAAAGATGCCTATTGTACTAACCATATGCTCATGGTTATGAATAGAATGACATACAATTTAGGTCCCTTGAGACTTTACTGTTTAAGCCGATACCCAATATGCTACTTCATTCTTACTAATACAGAAAACAAATTAGCTATAACTTCAGGGACCTAAATGCTACTTCGTTCTAATGAATAATATCACACGAACCTACTACAATGTCGACCAAAACACAAGAGGAGGAATCTGCAATGGAGGGGGGGAAAGCATACCTAGTTCATTATCTTGGGTCAAGGCTTTGGCATGGCCTTTCACCATCGATTGCAGGTGCTCCTTCAAAACATAGAATTGACTGTCACCTCCATAGGAGGCCAAATTGCCCTGAACCAGATTTGTATGTGTATCTTCTCTAGACCATAATGCCAAACTCACAGGCTGCTCGCTGGCTACAAAATTCGAAGGCTCCTCAATTGTTTCTCTCCATTCGTTCTGTGGTAGTCTATTATACCTGTTGCTCAAGTAAGCCGGATTGAAGTTGTTAGTCGGTTGAACTGGCATTTCCCTGTGCTGAGACTGAGAATTGGGGGCTGGCATAGCTTCCATTCTGCTAGACAGAAGGCTCTGGATGCGTCGTTGAATCTCACGTCTTCCCCAGAGTGTCGATGCACCTGTTCCTGGAGAAGAAGCCACCACTGGAGATATCAGGTGATGGAACGTCGAATGTGATGGAAGTTCCGAGCTCATCAGCATTCTGTCTTCTAAACTGAGAGTTTCCTGTCTGTTTAACTGGTTGCTCATAGGCATCTGTCCATTGATTTGGTCGCTCATTGTCATTGGTCTGCTAATTGTGTTGCTCATTGCCATTGGTCTACTAAACGTCACGTTTGATGAAGTTGCCGAACTCGGAAGCAATCTGTCTTGTGCACTGAGAGTTTCTGGTCTACTAAACCTGTTGTTCATTAGCCTTGGTATATTAAACCTGTTGCCCGATGGAATTGGTAGTCTATTGAACCTGTTGACCATTGCTCTTTGATCAGGTGGAAAGGTGTCCTGAGCCTGGGAACTAGAGGTACCAAGAGCAACAGGCTTACAACCTTCACAGTACCAGTTTCCCTCGGGCACTTGCCGCCCTAGACCGACGCAGTAGGTATGAGCTGGCGAATCACAGAGGTCGCACAGCAGCATGAGAGCATCATCACCACCTTCATGGCATTCTGCGCAAATAACACTCTCATACGGATCAATGAAGCTTCGAATTTCCTCTTCAGTTGGTTGATACACCTAATACAAAAGCAAGAAACCAAAAAATTGTAACTTGCGCTAATAAATGGAAACTGAAATCAAACATACACAAATGACGGGCATAAGGCGAGAGAGCAAATACAGAAGCAGACCTGATCACGCATGGGGACTTCTATGACCTCGCTTCTCATATCAACTCCAAGAGATAATCTCCCACTCTTGGTGATTGTCGTAAACCTTTGCTTGCACAAGGGGCAACGAGATTCGACCTTCGACCACTCCATGATGCACTTGAAGCAGAAGTAATGGCTGCAGCAGTCTAGAGTTCCTCTTAATCTTCTTTTATCCTCTTCTGTGAGACAGACTCCGCAGACTTGCTTTGCAACTACCTCGAGTTTTTTGGATTCCTCCACCTTCTCTTTCCCCTTCTTCGCCATTAAATCTTGATTATCATGCTCCTCTTCATTTGTTTTTACAGAGGATAATGATGAACTCCTCAAACTAGTCTTCTTCATTTCTCCTCCGAATATCTTCTCAGCTTCTCTCACCTGTTCTCTCTCCTCTTCAGAGATCGTGTACTCTGGTTCGGATCCAGATGCCACAAAATCCGAATCAGAATTCACGGTGTACTTCCTTTTCCTCGAAGTTCTCTTGCTCTTTTTCTCCCTGGCAGCTGAGTTGCAGTCGGTGAAATCCACGTCATCATCATCATCGCTCCTCATTTTCTTCCTCAATCGACGCTTCTTCTTTCTGCCCTTCTTGGCAATAGACCGTTGCAGCGCTGTTGATTTCATTCTTGTAGCACTCCCTTTTTTTCTAGTCCTCTTGACCATCTTGTTCACCTTACTACTCTTCTTCTTTTTCGTGGTTAGTTCGTCATCCTCATCCAAACAATCATCATCATCATCTTCTTCTTCTTCTTCTTCTTCTTCTTCTTCTTCTTCTTCTTCTTCTTCTTCTTCTTCTTCTTCTTCTTCTTCTTCTTCTTCTTCTTCACACAATGCTAATTCGTCATCCTTACCATCATAGTCGTCATCAGCATCCACCTCATCATCATCACCAATAACATAATCTTCATCTTTATCTTCATATGAAATCTGACTCCTCTTTCGTGCTCCGATTTTCCCATTATTGGATCGAACAGTCCTTCTACATGCTTTCGCCAGTTCTTCCTCATCTTCTGATGAGAACCCTTCTAAAGAGCTAGCATACTCCTCCGATTCATTCCCCTCATACTCAATCACATAATCCTCATCCGAATCATCAGAACCCTCGTCGTCCGATCTAACTCTCTTCTTGAAACTCCTTTTACCAGTAATTTTCCCACCCTTTCCCATCTACCTCTCAACCCACAATCACCCACCAAATTCCTAAAAACTGCCTCTATCAGCTCTAAATTATGCCAAACCTACCCACAAAAAACCTACGATTTCATTCAACTTCTATCATCAGGGATTCCCTAATTCAACACATGCAATCCTATCACGAAAACAAAATCCTGGAGATTCGCCCAAAAGGAGAGAAAAATTAAATCTCCTTCCAAGCTACCTTTCAAATGACTTGTTTTTGCCTTCGATTCCACTCAAATTGAGCAACACGATCGAAACTTGAAACCTAACCTACCAATTTCTTTAGTCCCATACCAAATCCCAAAAATTCCACATAAAACCCAGATCAGGAAGGAAATCACTCCCTCAGCTGGCCGCAATTAAACTCGCTTCCTTGTCTGCCGAATCCAAGCTCCAAAATACGCCGAAAAAGGGTAAATTTTCATCTTTCACCCTTTTGGGATTGAATCATTCAAAGGGTAATTCAAAGCTAAATAACTTTGAAAACCCGTTTAACGGGAGAACAATAAAAACCAAAGAAAAATTAATAAAATACGATAAAAAGCTTACAGCTTTACGAGCCTACGGGTACAGCTGAATTATACAGAGAGAGAGAGAGAGGCAGAGAAGGGGGAAGTACAGAAGAGAGATACAGATGGAGCGGGCTCTGCGATGAGTGGCAAAAGGGCAGAGGAGAAGGAAAATGGAGGCTGGAAACCGAATTATGCAGGAAAAGAAGGAAAGAAATGTGCTTTATTGGTTGGGTTAGCTGCAAAAGGAGATGAAAAGAAAAAAAGAATTTCCAGAGAAGAAAGGAACCAAGGAAGAGCCGCGTTAATGGGTGATTCCAAATCCGCAATCCGGTTGAGATTTTCTCCATAATGTGTTTGTTTGTTTGTTTAGTGCTTTCCCCTCTCTTTTTGGGTTTTGTTTCCAATTAGTGAAGGTTAATGCCAAAGTTTATAATGCATGATAGACCTAAAGGATAAAACAATCATTTGTAAAAGTAATTAATTAAAAGGCTTAATTCACTTGCATCGTCATAACTTTCACGATTTTGACAAATATAGTCACTTTTTGAAAAATACAAAGATATAACCAATTTTATCTAATTCTTTGACGGTTCACTTAACCCGCTAACTGGACTAACGACAGCGGCTGATCGTGTTTTAATTTGCGTCCTTGCCACTTGAAAAACATGGGTAGTTATCATAAATGGTCACAAACCTATTCACTTTGTACAAAACGGTCACAATCCTTTAATTTTGCACGTTTCAGTAATAAAAGTTTGAGCAAATAACAAAATAGTAAATCCGTCCAATTCCGTCCAAAACTCCGTCCCTAATCGCCCCGTCAGCATGACACGTCGGTGTAAATAATAATAAAAAAATAACTAATCAAACCCACATAACCAGACTATCCAACCGGCCAGATTAAATCCTCCGCCGTCCACCGTCGTGGGGTCGTCTCGTTCTCTCCCCCTAGGGTTTCTCCTTCTACTCCATCTTCCGATCATCTGTTCATAATCAGTTCGCTTACATCGCCAGATTGTAGAGAGCCTTTTTGGTACGGACACGACGAGTGTATATCGGCTTATGCATCTGTAGGAAGGTTTCGCTTTCTCTTCAATGGCGACGGCACCGGTGAAACCACAGCCGAAGTCGCTCCACAACTTCCCTGTCTTGCTGAATTGGGGCAAAACCGCCACGCTCGCCGCTAGAGGAAGCAACAGCTCTAGGCGTCGTCCTGCTCCACCGCCGCTACCGAACGAGTCGGAATCGGATTCCAATCCTGATGCTTTCCGAAGACAGCACCGTCAGCCACCTCCTCCGTCTGATGGTGCTTTGCGGCTCCTCATCGGGTCGATCCCGATCCGCCAGGCAGCAGCGGTTCGAGAATACTCTCGAAGCCGAGGCCAAAGCAGGAGACTGCGACGGTGCTCTAGAAGCCATCGGCGGCGACGGAGGAGACGGAGGAGCAGCTGCGGAAGTAGCCGATGGCAAGAGAATCTCGATTTGAGGTAATAGTTCAATTCGGGACCGGATGGGTAAAGGTTTTAATCTGGCCGGTTGGATAGTCTGGTTATGTGGGTTTGATTAGTTATTTTTATTATTATTATTTACACCGACGTGTCATGCTGACGGGGCGATTAGGGACAGAGTTTTGGACGGAATCGGACGGATTTACTATTTTGTTATTTGCTCAAACTTTAATTACCAAAACGTGCAAAATTAAAGAATTGTGACCGTTTTGTACAAAGTGAATAGGTTTGTGACCATTTATGATAACTACCCTGAAAAACATTCATATTGTTTTTTAATTAATGAATAAATAAATTAAAAATAAAAATAAAAAAGGGAGAGAAAAACCAATCACTTTCCTCGCAAAAACCCTTCCCTCCTCCTGGTTTTCTTTCTCGTTTCTTCCTCTCCGCCGTCATCATCAGCAAATTTGAAGGAGGAGAAGGAGGAGCGGGGACATGAATCTGGTTCTCCAATTTTTTCAATGGTCATTGGAAACCCCAAAATATCAAATCGCATCCTCTCACAACCGATTTACCCTATCCTGTCGAGCTCCCCCTGAATCACACTAACGAGAAACAAGAACCCAGAACATAGTAAATCAGAGCCATCATAGGGATATTCGGAGAATTGAAAAGATGGGATTTCGAGAGATCGATTCAAGATAGAGTGAGAGCCAACCCGCCCAACCAATCCCTCATCCACCTAATTTACTTGTCGCCCTCTCTAATGACTCTGCTCCTTTCCCTCTCCCCCGAGTTGTCTATCCCTCTCCCCAATTTTGAGATGTTGCTACTAGTATGGGCGATCGGATCCTGAGATTAGGGTCTGGGAAGGAAGAGAAGGAGGAAAATACAAATGTTGGCGACGGTTTTGGTGGTGGCCATAGCCGTAATAGTGGTGGGGATGAGGAGTTGGAGAGCGAGGAGAGGAGGAGGGAGATACGAGAGAGAATGAGGTTGGGGAGAACGGCGGCAGCGACATCGACAATAGAGAAGAACAGATCGGGGATTTAGGAAAGATGTGAGTCAGTCGGAAAGGGCAGAGATTTTGATTCAGCGTTGGAGCAGTCACACTAGATGTATTCGATTGGGTGGCCGGAGTTCCAATTGGGGCGAGGGCAGCGAGCTACACCATAGACTTTTCATGGGCGGCTCATCTTCATCAAGCTTCTTCTGCAGGAAGAAAAGGGGGAAAGATGAACAAAGTCGGAGACGAACCCAATTTCAAACTTGTCTAAATCGGGAATGGGATGGAGATTTGGAGATCAATTAAGATTTATTGAGGTTATCAAGAGATCACCTTCAGAATTGTTTGAGTGCTGGGGAGAAGCTCCGGCCACGCCGAAGGGGGAAGATGGGGAAGGGACGAGATGGAAGAAGAAGGAGAGCTCGAGGCGGAAAGTGAAAAAAGAAAGATAAATTTTTATTTTAATTTAAATATGATGTGGCAACTTGGTGGCATGATTTGGTGTGTTGGAGATGATGTGGGAGCTCAGGTGCCATCCACGCTAGTGTCATGTTAACGGTGTTAAAACTTTTAACGGAAATGGCTGATTATGTCAAACGAGTTTTCAAAATGTGGCTATATCTGTGTATTTTTCAAAAAGTGGTTATATTTTTCAAAATCGTGAAAGTTATGGCTATGCAGGTGAATTAAGCCTAATTAAAACGAATGGGTAAAGTTTGGCTGGTTGCGTGTAGGGTTGGAAGTTTGGTACGTGTATTTGGGATATATCGAATACAGTATTAGATTTATCAATATTTGATATTATCGAATACACGTAATGTCTCATGGGATTGAGATTGAATTTCAAGTGTTATTTGATATTAGGAACTACGAGGTATGTATATAACAAAATATTGATGAACATCGAAATATAAGTTAATGCGTTTTTTAACCCTCCCAACTCGATTGCCTTACTCGTTGCTACCAGACACTCAACCGTCAAAATAACCACTTAGTGGATAAAATACCTCGAGTACCACTTAAGTTTGAGAATTGGGGTAGACATACCACTTAAGTTTGAATAGGGTGTCGGGTACCATTAAAGTCGCCAAAAGGTGCATCCATCTAGTTTTCCATCCAACCCAAATTTTATTTACCTTTTCGTACCCAAAACTTTTAAAAACATCCAAAACTATATGTCAACAAGTATTATCTAATATGAAAATTAGAAAACCTTCTAAACATGTTATTACTAGAATGGCTAATGAAAATCTTTCACTAAAATAGATAAATTAGTAAAAATAATAAACAAATATCTAAAAGGAACAATAAATTTAGGGTTAATACCTTATTATGGCCTAAACTATGACTATGTAATCAACTTTGACCCGTGGTTTGAGAAATTAACATCCTGGCCCGAACTATGCAGCATATAAACAGAATTGGCATGGAGCGTGAGTTGACCGTTTGTTTGGACGGTCAACTATTCAGGTCACTGCCATATCAGCACAAAAAAAAATTATAATTTCATTTTTCTTTTTATTTCCTTTATAAAATTGACTAATAACGGAAAAAAAATTTGGCCACCCATCCCTACCTTATCCCCTCGCCTTCTTTCCTTTTCGATCAGAACCCAAAAAACCCTAACCATTATTCTTCTTCCTCCAACTATCCCCTCGCCTTCTTTCCTTTTCGATCAGAACCCAAAAAACCCTAACCATTATTCTTCTTCCTCCATTCTGATCGAAAAGGAAAGAAGGCGAGGGGATGGGTGACCGATTTTTTTTATTATTAAATTTTATAAAGGAAATAAATAGAAAAATGAAATTATAATTTTTTTTGTGTGCTGACATGGCAGTGACCTGGACAGTTGACTAACGGTCAACGGTGTTGACCGTCCAAACAAACAGTCAAACCACGCTCCAGGCCAATTCAGTCTATATGCTGCATAGTTCGGGTCAGGATGTTAATTTCTCAAACCACGGACCAAAGTTGATTACATGGTCATAGTTCAGGCCATAATTAGGTATTAACCCATAAATCTACTAGAACATAATAATGCATATTTAAAATCAATATTAGAAGATCTAGTTAAACTTCTAATCCAATTAGAAGCACTACTAAAAATAGTCAAAATGAAACCTAATTGAACATCAATATATCAAGACCAAACAATGATAAATGGAACACAATAAGAAAGAATACACATATTCCAATAATTGAAAAAAAATCAGAACGAATTCACAACATTCTATTACAAATCTAGAAAAGAAAATATGACTATAAGAAGAGAATTAGAATTAGTAAATTTAACTAATATGGAACATTTACAATTTAATATAGAGAATTATAAGGAGATTTAAAATAGTAAATTAAACAACATCAGCATGATGTAAGAGAACTAAATATAACATCCTCCAATTATTTATATTGAGTCAGAATTCATAGGACATATTTGCTCTGAATAATTCAACTATTAGAACACATAATGATAATTGAAAGTACTTATAATGATAATTGATTCTAAATTTCTATTCAAAA